GAGGGGGGTATGATTTTATGCTTCCAATGTGAAGATCTCTCAAAGATCCTTTTGGTGTCCAAATTTGAAAGGAATTGGTCAAGTATTAAGCTTATTATTACATTTTGAAATGGCTTAGATAAGAAAGATGCAATTTTCGTCATAGGACCACTTCAAGTGTAAAAATTTCTGACTTAAATCACTTTTAAAATACAACATGTGCACTTGTCTTGTTATATCTTATTCAAGGGTTGAAGACGGATGGCTTGCCAAAGATCAAAAAAGAGGACGACTTTGAGTCAGAAGAAGAGTACTTAAATACTCATTTCCAACTTCTTAGAGAGGAATGCTTCTACAAGTTGAGAAAAGGGATCAGTGGGTTTGTGGCAAACAGCAGTCAGTTTGATTCCAAGGATATGTTGATGTACAGGTAAACTTTATTTGATAAACTTACATCATTTTTAACAATTACAAACTTTATTGTTATACCTCTCAACTCAAATGTATTATCAGATTGGAGGAAAATGATTGTGTCACTTGCCATGGGCCAAAACTTAAGCCAACTCTTTAGGGTGAACAAAACTCACTAACTCCCTAGGGAAACAACAACTTCAACTTTAGACTCAAACGTGATCAGGTAGTGCACCTTGAAACCATGGCAAATTTGTGTGCCAGTCGCTGTCAAGCACATATTTTTTTTGCATTTTTTCTATTTTTAAGTTGAGAGGTATACACTGTAAAAAAACACCTAATGACTGGCCTCACGAGAAACAGTGAGTTTTGTTTGCCCTCCACCTTCAATGTTCCCCAAGATGAAGCAGAGGGGAAACAAAACTCACTGTTTCCTTGGGGCCAGTCATTAATTAGTGTTAATTCACTGCACTAATCTTGCCATCTGGTATATGTATGTCTCCATCAATAGAAACAAATCAACATTTAAACCAAATTTTACAGAGGGTTCCTGTTCTGTGGAACAGGATTCCCTCGGAAATCAGATGCCTGCCTACAGTGTATGTGTTGTGTGAATGATTTTAAAACCTCATTGAATGGGAAAGATTATTATTTTTTAACAAACTGAAAATTAAAGAAAGTTTTTTTACAGTGTATATATATATATATATAGATTTTTGTTGTACGTGTATGTCATCTTTCTCAGTTCAGTAGTTCATTAGAGCTCTAATGTAATGTATCCTGTGTGTAATTTTTCAAGTGACTCCTAGGAAGACCATCTATATGATAAGATACTGTGTTTAAATAAGCATTGATGATGATGATGATGATGATGATGAAAAACGAGAAATTAGATGCGTTTCAAGTGCTCCATCTGACTGCATTTAAACTGCCATATGTCAAATTTATTTGCCTAATGTACTGTACTACTATTTTTGTTATTCAGAATTATGAAGTGGAAACCCATGCTTAACTCTTAGATTAAATCAGTAGAATTCTACAATTGTACATGTAGATGGTACTTAATGCTGACTAATATTTCCTAACTTTCTTATAAGTTCAAGCTTGTCTTAACAAAATACTCTAAAATCTCTGCATCTGCAGCATTGTGTTGGTGGCAGTCTCTACTGACCGTGATGAGTACTCTCCAACTGCTATGTCTATTGCACTGAAATATACAGTACTGCATTCAAAACCTGATGCTGATGAGTGGGAGTAAGTTCATTGTAGCTAAAGGAGATTTTTTGTTCACATGTCCATGCTACATACAGTAATATGTGTTTTTCTGATGTAATAAATCAATGGCTATTGTACTCTGATAATTGTACAGTACTAACTGAGACGGCATGACATTACTGAGTGATTCCAGAAAATATCCATACCCTACCACGGGTGGCATGAACATTTTAACCCCCCCTTGCCTT